ATTGACTTTGGTGAAAAGCAATTTTTTGCCATTTCAGGATGAGCCACTATTCCAGATTTCAAGGACATCCAACAATGCAGATTCATTTCACTTAATCTTGTTTTTATACTTTAGCCAACCTCATTTCCAACTATTTACTTATTTCACTATTTTGCATGTACTTAAATATTCCTTCTAACTATTTACTCTGAACAAATTCCTACCACTCAAAGTCTCCTGGCTCTGTTGTCAGTATTTTCTAACCACCAGCATTCAGGGATCTCTCATATAATGGAATTGCTGTGGAATTTAATCGTTGTCACATTTTGCCCACATAGTTTTAATGATCTAGTTTTGGTAATCCTGCAGGTAACTGCAGGATCCTTCATTTTTGTAAACTTGTTTATTTTTATTAGAACAGTAGATGTACTTAACCTTTGTGGTAAATCTTAACATAATTTTAGTAACAGAAGGTGAACTTTATGGGGATATTGATAGATTTGCCTATATGGAGCACAATAAAATCATTGTGCCTCATATTTATAAGTTACATAATTTATAACTTAAAATTTATGATATAAAACACAATCAAGTTGTGTTTCCAGAAACTTAAAAGTGGTAAACTGCTAGAAAATTTGGCATCATACTTTTCCTCACCAATTATCATTATTTTTCTTTACTCATCTGCTTCAATTTCCTGTTAAGATAATCTGTCTCTGCTCCCTAAACTAAAGGACAGGTACTAGAAGCTCATAATATACTTGTATGTGTTATGGAGACTGCATCCCCTGCCTATCTTTTCCTGTTGCTTTTGTGTTAACATTCTTGAGAAAGAGACTCAGGACCAACTTTGAAGAATCTTCCTGAGTTACCAAATGTGAAATCATAAAAAAACAAGTAAGACTGCAGAGACTTTCCTCAAAATAAAGGTACAGATATAAAACCCCTATGAACTTGAGGACACTTTCAGTTAATGTTGATAAGCTTACTTTTTGCAATGGTAGAAGGCAACACTTTGTTGTTTGTGTTTTTTTTTTTTTTTAAACAACAACTTTAAGTGATAAATTAGACTAGATGGGATAGAATAGACACTTACAGGCATTTCACACCACAAAAGCTGAATGCACTTTCCTACAGAATATCTATCCTGTTAATGAGGAAATAAGAAAAGAAATCTAAAAATACTGGAAAACAAATGAAAATAAAGACACACGCTAACAAAAGCTATGGAAAATAGCAAAAACATTACTAGAGGGAAGTTTATAGGAATACAGGCTCACATCAAGAAACAAGAAACATCTGAAATAAATAATCTAAGCCTACACACCTTAAGGTACTAGGGGGGGAAATAAAGTAAAAGCTAGTAAAAAAAAATAAAAAAGAAAAATAAGAGCAGAAATAAACAAAATAAAAATTTTAAAAAGCAAATAAAGATCAATGAAACCAAAAATTACTTCTATGGGAAGATGGAAAAAAAAATTAGCTAACTTCACAAAGAAAAAAAGGGAGAAAATGCTATAAACACAATCATATACGAAAGAGCAGTTACAACAGACATATCAGAAATATATACAAGGATCATTAGAGACTACTATGAGCATCTTTATGCCAACAAATTGGATAACCTAGGAGAAATGGATTAAATTCTTAAAATAGCCAACATTTCAAAACTGAATCTGGAAGAGAAAACCAAAACAGACCAATGGCAAGCCATAAAATTGAAATTGTAAGCAAAATCTCCTAAAAAACAAAAGCCCAGGACTAGATGATTTCACTGATGTGTTCAAATATGAACTAAAACCTATCCTTCTCAAAGTTTTCCAAACATGAAAGAGTAGAGGATGCTTCCAAACACATTTTATGAAACCAACATTACTCTGAAATTGAAAGGAGCCAAGGACATCACATAAAAGAAAACTATAGACCAATATCCCTGATGAACATAGATGTGAAAATCTTCAGCAAAATCTTAGCAAACCAAATTCAACATTAATTAAAATAACCATACATCATAATCAAGTGGGATTAATTCCAGGGATGCAAGAATGGTCCAAGAAATGCAAATCAACCTATGTAATTAAACACATCTAAAAAAAGGAAAGATAATAATCATATGATCCTATCAATATATACAGAGAAAGCACTTGATGAGACTCAATATCCATTTATGATATAATCTCACAATAAAATGAGAATAGAGAGAACATATCACAACCTAAAAAAATGTCATATATGGCAAACTCAAGGTCACATCACACTGAAAGGTGAAAAACTGAAAGCTTTTCCTCAAAGATTAGGTACAAGACAAGGATACTTTATCATAATTTTTAAGAAAGGATTTAAAATTTTCCTTGTTGAAGTTTCATATGCAACTGTTTCTGAATGAACTTGAAATATTAAGTCACACAAGTGGTCTCCTGATTTTATGCACACAATAATAGTTCTTATAATACCTCACATTTTAGGTTTTTTTTTTTTTTTTTTAATTTCTCTAGGTTACCAGACACCTTCAAGAGGTCAGATGAACTAGAAGGCTGATTTTTATATAAAAATACCACGTCTCTATAAATTATATTTAAATAAAATCAATGAGTCAATATATAAAAATGATCATACTAAATTGATGCAATCTCAATGTGAATCATTGGAAATGCTTATATCTATTACTTACTGCTTAAGAAATCTGAGTCTTAATAGTTTTATCTACTCCTAAAAATATTATGTTCAGTAATAAAAACTTTCTTCTTGCTTAGAAGTATAGGAGATCCTATTACAAACAAGCTCTTTTGGTGTGGGCATGGTTGTGTTATGGCATCTATATATTCTGATTGCATGTTAATATAAGAAATTTTATGCATATATTTCCTTTATTTATTTATTTGTTTGTTTGGGTTTTTTTTTGTGTGTGTAGAAGAGCTATGGTATAGGCCAGAGGTGCTGGGGTTGAGAGGATTCACCAGAGACAGAGTGAGGAGTAGAACAGGTGGATTTATTGAAATACACTGTTGAGGGGAGCATAGGGAGAGACTGGAGAGGTCTGCTGTGCCCTTGGGTTAGCTCCCTGGAAGAGGAACAAATTCTGGCAGTATTGGTGATAGTGTTGATACTTAACCCCGAGGTCACCAGAGAGGCTTATATTTCCAAATCAGTTCATGACTGATGCTAGAGAAAATCCATGAATTCTTGTTATTAAGTATTTAAGACTTATTTGCCTATTTTATTATAAATTTTGGGATAAGAGAGGAGCTTAGAAATCCTCATCTTTGCATAAATGTTTTTTCAAATTTGAATTTTGACTTTTTGTGTACACTCGTTGTAAAAAAATAGTGAAATATATGTTATGAAAGTGGGATTTTAATTTGATCATTCATCATCCATCTCTGTTGATCCTCTGCTCATATGTTGTGTGATAGACTAAAATGTATTACTGAGGACAAAGAAACAGTTAGCATTCTTATTGCTAACATTTGTAACTCTTCTAGAAACAAAGTCTGACAAGCTGAAGCTCAGTGGGACACTAACTATTCATTTATTTGAAATGTTTTGTGTATACATTACTTACATCTTAATGTATATGCTAACAAATGCACTAAGTTGCATTACTGTTGGGAAAGCTGTGCTGCCTTCTTCCCACAAGTCACTAATAATCAAGACAAGTAACTAATATTTCAGCAGCTTATACATGTCCAGAAAACTTGAAAGATAAAAATATTAATATTATGGTGAAAATAATGAAGCCAATGTCATCAAATTTTATTGACTTTGTTCAGGAATTTATGTAGTATAGTTAAAAAATTTTTAATGGTTGATTTTCAGTAATTATATTTTAGAAGAAGGAAATAGAACTAGTGAAGGAGAATTAGATCTTCATCTTAATACTTAATCTACTATTTAGTTCAGTGAACTAGTACTCATAAGTGGACAATTCACCAACTGCACATGCATTCCTTTCCTAAAAATCTTTACTTGAAGCATTAGAGAGAAAAGCAAATAGTCAGATGATAGTTTAGATAGATGACTAGATGACAGAGATGAATAGACAGAGGTAGATATAGACATAAGCATATGTACTTACAGATAACATCTATTATTTAACCTATATATGTTTATGTGTAATAAATCTCCATCACAGTCAAAATATTTCCATAGACTTAAGACATTTCAACTGGACAAACTACTACTTGGTGTTGTTTTTCATTACTGAGACATGTAAACAATTACATTAAAGTAGAAATGTATAATGATTATATAATTAATTATATAAAGTGTGCTCTTCAAGACAAAAATGATGTAGTAATTTGTTTCCTGGATGATTCTTTAGTACATAACAAGTTACTTCTCCATGGGATCCATTTTCAACCTTTGAGAACTGTACAATCCCTAGAGCTTTATATGTGATTCATGAAATCAGAGATGTATATAACTGAAAGTCATAATTCTGTACCAATATTCCCCCACCATCTCCAGTTTTATATTTGTGCTGCTGATAGTCTCAGAGGTTCCTAGGACTCATCCTTCCAAAGGTCAAGGTCACAGCAAACTATAACAATAGTAAAACACCTGTACAACTCAATTCAGCATGCATCACATGCTCTATAATAATGGTTTTCTCCATTTTACACATGAACTTCAACTTCCCATTCAAAGACTGATTTTCTTGAAACCAACAGTATTGTTAAAAGCATCTGCACCAAGTCAGCTTATCTTCTTTCTCTTCTGAATCAGATTTTATTTTAGGTGCATTTTTTTGTATATACTCATTGGGAAATAATGCTTCAGAATCAATTTCACTCACAAACACAGATCCTGCCATCAATATTAGGATTTTTTTTTTTTTGCTTATCAATTCTTTTAAATTTCTTTTTTAACATCAATTTATTAAATTAATTAAATATTCATTACATTAATTACATTAATCAAAAATAATTGTTAATCTTCAGACAGTATTTGATTTTTCCCTCAGGTGTAGTTCTCCCATAACCATAGCACATGTGTTATATCTCCAACTCCCTTGTGCTTTTAAAAATATGGGGAGCTTCACAAATTTACATGTCATCCTTGTGCAGGGGGCATGCTGGTCTTCTCTGTATCATTCCAATTTTAGTTTACGTGCTGCCAAAGAGAGGACTAGGATTACTCTTTAAAAAACAAAAATTGATCTTACTACGTTGCTCAACTTTTGAAATCTTTCAGGATAGGATGAATGAAAAGTTAATTATCTAACCTATCACTCAAAGGAATTTATAATTTACAAAATTTTGCCTTAATAATATTGAAAATGTACTACTTTATAAATATGCATTCAATAAAGGTTTCATTCCCCTGTATTCTTTTCCTCTCTACACATGCACTATAATTGAGCACAGCACCATCTAAAATATACCACATGTAACATGAATCCATAAGCTATTAGGCTCAACAATCGGTTCCACATTAAAATCTACATGATAGGTGTCAGTCAACTTTTATTAAAATATTGAAAATGTACAACAACAACAATAATTCAGGAAGACATAGCACTCATCAATATATACTGTTAAGTTTTTAACTGTTTCCTAAGGCAACCTCAAAACCTTTTTTTGGGTGCTTATGTAATAACTGCTTACACTTGCATATAATATCTTCATTCAATAAATATCTATTAATAATACTCTTTATTACTGGTTCAGTTGGGTTATGAAGCTCAGTCTGAGATTTCACTAACTGTATCTTCCAGATCTCTTTTCTGCTTTGCACTCTCAGGCACATCCTTCTATCCATTTCAAAAACCTACCATAGCCTAAAACGTCAATGCCTATATTCAGAATATTAATACACTGCTCCTCTGCTTACTATATCATATCAAGCTCCCATTGATATATTAACACATTTATTTCTGCAAAACTTATGACAAATTTGGGCCTCCCCTGGTGGCGCAGCGGTTGAGCACTGGGCTGCGAAGCTGCCTGCAGCCTCTGCAGCACCAGTTCGATCCCCGGCAACCGGCGAGGGTCCCACCTGGCATGACAGGCCTCTCCTGCCACGTCCACTGCTCCCCTCAGCAGTCTGCCTGTTCTGCTCCCTGTTCTGGCTCTGGTGAATTTCTCACCCTCCTGCACTTCTGACTGTACACAGTGCTTGTATAAATAAATCTTAAAAAAAAAAAAAACTTATGCCAAATTTAGATTCCTATATCCAATCTTCATTTTACACACTGCTAGTCTTGGCATTTTAATGATACATGATGTATCATTAGTTCCTCCATTCTTTCTCGCACTAGACTTTAATCTTTACAGGTAAGGGTTTAATTACTCTCACATCCATACACTTTTTACTTATACAATGTCTTGTATATTGCAAGTTTTTGAAAATATTTGTAAAAGTGAATTTTACATTAAATGAATGACTTTGAAATTTTATTCTTTGGCACCTATGCTGGGTATGTCAGGTCCTCTTGGCCTCGCCTTTAGTTTGCCCTAGCTATTGCTTCAGCAGTCAATCTCCCAATGGTTTTAAGTATTTTCAAGCATAATTTGCAAGGAGCAAACTGAATAGTCTCTTGCCCACTGTCCATGTACTACTTCTTGAACACAAAAAGGGACACAGCTTACCCATTTGAAGTGCAGGCCCACGGAGTGAAAGGATAAATTATTTTCTTTCTCCTGCAGTTGCTCCCACCTCCATCCCTACTGATGCCGTGACAATTCATAAGGCTAATTAAGGCTCAGTTCCATGAGACTGAGCAATAAATTTTCCTTGTTAGAAGACAACTTGAAAATATCTCTGTGAATTTGCTTTCTCTTCTTCCCTGACTCATCTTCACATCCTTTATTTTTGCTCCCAGAGCTTATCCTCCCTTATAAGTAGTAAGTCAGAAACTACAAGCTTCAGTCTATGCTTTATGAGAAAACCAGATAGAGACAAGGATATCACTTAATATATAATGACTCTCATAAGTTCCTTAAGGGAGAATCTAGACCAATGAAAGGATGGTATGGAAAGACAGGTGTGGTAGAGCAGTCTCCTGTCACTCATAAGCAAACTGGTATCAATGAAACTCACATTAATTCATTCTCTTCCTCTCATAAATATATCCAAGTATATTACTACTGTATAACTCTGTATTTTGTTCTCTGATTAATTTTAGAAAAATTCTTTTTCATGTATAGTTATCATTATTATTAGCACTAGTATTTAAATTATCACAATCTATGAGTAGATTACTACTGTCATCATCAGTGTAGCTGATGCAAATAGCATAGTACTAATAACTGAAATTCTTATAAAACTTCCATTATTTTACTTATGGACTAATTAAGACTCTGTAGTATCCCTCTTTCAAGTCACTGTCATTAAAAAAAAAAAACTTTACAATATTGTTAGAACAAAGACTCTATGAAAGGTTTATACTAAGATCTCAATAAAACATTTAAACAAAGTCATGTTACCCTTGAAGAAAAGAGATTAACAGAATGATGGAGTAGTGGGGGCAGCATTGTTTTGTGTATATGTTTTAGGTAGTTGAATGACACCAAATATCGTGTTTCCAACCTGCAAAATCTCCAAGTGGTAAAGTTCAAATCTTTCTATTTTAACTTGTCATTCCACATTATTAAGCATGCTTTAATCAAGCAACTGAATTAAAATGAAGAAGTGCCTGCTAAATTTTCAAAAGGTAAAAGTACCTACATAATAGTGAGTACACTGAGTGAAAGAAGAATTGTGCTTAAAAGACCCAGACAGTTAAAATTATCAGGCAAAATAGCAAGATCAAATTTGTGATGGTTGTTAGAGGGAAGAATCAAAAAAATGTTGAAAATTTAGTATGTGCGTAGGTAATTGACAGTAATAAAACTGTATGTATCAGGAGAGTTAACAGTTTACTGAGATTTTACATTAGTTAAATTATACCTAACATATGTTTTCCATTTTATATTAATGTTTGCTGTTGGTGTGTGAGTCTTCAAAAGTTCAGAGAAATTTAACCTATCTATCAGACAATATAGAAGAGAAGAAATCAGAACAATAAGTCATTAATGAATACATTTACTGATTTACTTTTACACATTGAATTTTCTTCTTATGTGATTATATTTTAGGTAAATTTAGTGGTGACGCCAAAAGATACAGTTCCTAATGTCATTATAGAGAGCACAACTTAGTAAGATGGGTTATACAGTAAATCAAATAACAATATAATTGGAAATTTCATGTATTCTGTAAAAATAAATTTCAGAGAAACAGATTTAGATATGAGTGTCAGGATAGAATTCTTTAAGCATTATTAAAAGTTGACAGATGAGTATGTTGGAAGAATGATACGTTATTCTAGAGAAGCTTTTGTGTACCTGGAGCCCTAGTAGTCTTGAAGAATCAATGTTTAGAAGTTTAATTTAAGGGTGAGAGAAATAGCATCCATTTCTATTGTGGCAATTTATTGTCAAAACAGGTAAAAGTTACAGTAAGATTTATTCCAAGTCCAAATTTTAAAAACCTTCTAATTTAGTGCTACCCAGCTTTGGAATGATTCATGTAATAGTGAAATATCACACAAAGTGTGTAAGCAGATGCCACCTGAAATGATAAATTCAACATTTCTAATTCCCCTTCTAAGAATATATTTTCAGTATTGCATTTTATAGAGAAGTGGATACATTTCCTATTCTACAGCAATAATGTTCAAATGTCTATGTCATATGTTCCCATATGTCATATGCTGCCCCAACAACAGCATAGAATTATAGAGCCATTATTATATGCATCAAATTGTTTCATTTATATTCTGTATTTTGAATGCAGCTTGGAACCTTTATAAATATTAAAACTATGTTTAGGGGAAGATTATATCCCACAGAATTATCACTGTTTTCAAGAGAATAAGTATAGTTATTAGAGGCAGACTGTGAGGAGTAACATTGGTTGAGTGCAACCCCCCATCATCCTGCTTTGTGCTTTTAAGAAAAATATTTAACCTCTGTGATGCTCACTTCATCTGTAAAATAAAAAAATATCATATATCTCACAATTCTTAAAATTAAATGAGATAATGTGTGCACAATTTTTGCTATTGTTATTATCTTAAGTATTTTTATTCAATACAATGACTAAATAATCCCTGGGATGGCACAAGCCATACAAATATTTAATGACAGGAAAACAACTTCTGAGATTTCATGTTAATATTATAGAGAATGACTATATTTACAATAAAATAAAATACAATTTTAAAACCCATTTATCTCTGCCCATACTACTTATAAATATTCAATATGAGTAAGAAATATTCAAGACCATCTGCAAGTGAACCTGCCAAAAGTTAGGACCTAAATGTAATTAAATTTCTAATTCCAGCAATTAAATTGTAGGGAAGAATAAGGACAAGGAGTGAAGAAACATGACAAGCAACATGAAGAGTATACAGTCAGTATAATCCAGATTTTGAGGAAAACTCAACATAAAATACCAAGCTACTTCAACAAGAAGGGATAAGGGAGAGAGGGAGGAAAGAGGTGGCAGGGCAAAGCAGGGGAAGGGAAAAGGACTCTGACTACACATTAAAAATATTTACGGAATCAACCAGCACCTATGTGGGAACATTGTTTAAAATCCTGATTCAAATAAAAGAAAACAAAGTGACTGTTTAAAATAAAACACAAGTGACAATTAGAAAACTGAACGTAGACTAGATATTTCTGGATATCATGGTATGACTATTTGATATTTAGACATGATGATTAGAGAACTTGCTGAAATACTTATAAATAAAATGGTTATAAAAGACATAAGAAGGGGGAATGCATAGGAGTATAAATGATTAAGGATTATGACTTATCAATTGTTCAAAGTAGGAAATGGGTACATTTTACTATTCTATTTTATAAACTGACATTTTCCATACTATAAATTTTTTTTAAAAGTCAATTAGAGAACTTAGCTAAATTTTGAATTGTTTAAGTAGTCTAAAAATTAATCTCTTAAAACAGTTTTTAAACTATGGCTATATGATTTAAAATGTATATATATGGCTACAGATTGTTCTGAAATAATGTGTTCTCTTTCTATCATTTATCATTGTGAGTTAATTGGAGCCAAAGTAACCTATTACCATTGACCATTAAAAAAAACTATTTCACTTTTCTGAATTAGTAA